CTGGTGGCTGGGGCCCTGGTGGCTGGGGCCCTGGTGGTGGCTGGAACCCCACTTTGTGCGACCAGTGGGGCAACTGCGCTGGCGGCTGGTAAGCTTGGTCGTAATTCCCTCTCAACACGAGTTTTTCGCTGTTTTTTACTTGTCAGCCGTATAAACGTCCCAGTTGCTAAGTCGACCATGCATGGTGCAAAGCAAGAGGCGGTCAGCATTGCTACGTCGCGCTCGCTCACTCGCCGGGGTACGAAGACAACGTGTGTACCATTGAGCTACAGGTGTTGATAGAAACGGGTTGTGTGTAGGGTTGTCTCGGATCGTACACAACGCAAGCGCACAAACAAAGGATGGTATATATAAACCATCGTCGGTAAAACTCCTATTCAAACAGGTGGGCTACGCTGTCGGACTGGCGAGCGCAATGACGAGGCGGCGTGCCTTCTTGGAGAAGGTGGGGCGTGTCGTCGCATTGTCGACGGCCCACGGCAGCGCGACTTGCAGGCGGTAGACGCCGGGGACAACAAACTGCAGCGTGTCGCTCGAGACATCCAGCGCCATGTCTCTCACCGATGCAAGAGCCGGCGTGTGGATCGTGAGCGTCATCTTTGCATTGTCCATGGTCGAGATCAGCTCGTACTGTGGCGTGGCTTCCGTCGTCCCACGAGGCATCGGCGTCGTTGTCTCGACCAACCTCTCCATCACCTCCTCAATCGGGGGCACTGGTTCGAGCGTCCCTACTTTGTTCTGGTGCCGTGCCTGGTTCTGATTTGCGTCTGAAGTGGCATCGACAATTCGCTTGTCCGTGTCGTCCTTGTTGACGTCAGCAGCTTCAATTCGGTCCACCGGTGGCGGCTTTTTCTGTTGCAGAAGCTTGCAGCGGGCCGCTTGCTCTTTGGACAAGACCATCCCCCGAAAGTAGTGCCGTCCAACGCGGTCAATGAGGTGGGTATCGCCGGCCTCGGCATTGAGGAGTGCTGAGAGGCGCTTGAAATCGCCAAGGGCGAGCATTTGCTGCCGCGTCCCGTCGCCGCCTTGGATCGCGTATACGAAGCTGTTGGCGCGACTCCACGCCGACTCGCGCTTGCCGTCTTCGTGCAAATGCGACGCCGCCGAGAACGGGTTGTCGCGTGGCAAGTAGGCCATGTTCGAGCCGAGCACGCGCGTGTGCACGGCAAACTCGCCGTTCATATCTATAAGAACGTATTATAGTACTCTTGTGAGGAGCGCCCTGAGATGGGACCTGCATAGTCGTTGGCGCACGCAAAGATAGAGAGGAGGCCGGACGCGACGATCGCGTAGAGGTCGGGAAGCCAGCTCCAGAGCAAATCGTAGCGGCCCGACTCGACAAAGTTGCCAAAGCCCGTGTTGTACCCGATGACGACGGTCGTCGCGACATCGACGTCGTGGCTGGCGAGGAAGCTGCCAGTTGTCCCACGATAGGCATGGGCAGTAACCCGGCTCTTGGCGGTGCCACCATGAACGCTCATCGAGACTTCGGGCCCGATGAACCAGACGTCAAAGGCGCGGTCTATACATGTATGTTCACGCCCTGGCTTTGCTGCCTCCGCCTCTGCGTCTACCTGGGTAGAAGGCCGAAATCTCCGCCCAGTAGTTGGTGCGGTCCCAAATGCGCTGCTCGGCTTTGACGGTCGCGCCAACGACAAGGATGGTGATAGTACGCCCCGGTGGCCATGCTGCCTCGGCGTTGAGGAGCTTGGTCATGTACACCAACGTCATCGGGAACGAGAGCGCATCCAAAAAGGACGGGTCGTTCGTCGCCCAGGGCAGCAAACTGGTCGCATGGCACTGCTCCAAATAGCCTTGCCAGCCGATGGCCAATGGGGCCGTTGGCGCGGCGGCGCCACTGCGCCGTGGCAAGGCTGGGAATTGTTTGTGTTCGGTCCACCGAAACGAACCGCTGTACATCCCTACACAACAGACGTGCATATTTCTGTGCTTCATTCAGGACACGGGTGTCGACTGGCCTTACCGTCGCCGCGCTGATCGAGGGCTAGCTCGGGCTGCATCCTCCTCAAAATGGCTCCGAAGAGGATCGGTGGCACGCGACTCTTCAAGATCGGAACAAGTGCAACTTGGATCTTGGCGTTTCATGGACGCTGGCCTTTCGCAGCCAACGCCATGTCGCGAAGCGGACCCGCAAGGATAATGCCATAGAAGGTGCATCGGCCCATCGCTGTCACCTCCGGCGGCGTGTGTACGTCCGACGTTGGTAACCTCACCTCGCTGCCCAAGGCGTACTTGCTTAAGCCTCTGCCAGTGCCAAAGCAAGTGCGACGACGCCGTCGCTGTTACCGACGCATGTACCGTACCCGTAGCGCCACCGACTTGGTGGCACTATGGCGGTGTCCCTCTCCTAGCATATACACACGCATCGGCCCGCTCGTCCTCGCATGTAATCTCTTTCCCTTGGCTCGTCGACGCGCTCGAAGTTACGGGTGTCTTCGAGTCCACGTGGTTTTTCGCAACACGACGACCGAATATTACTATACCTTTCTTCTTTTCTTGCATACATTTAGCAAGCTCCGCTGCGCGATTTCGAATAAAAAGCCGCGTTTCTACACATGGCTTCGAACTTCGAGCGCCATTCATTTGTACAGTGCGTAACGACTAAGTCTATACAAAGGTCGACTGGAATTAAAATAAATTGTTGTGTGAAACCAGCTGGCAGCATACTGAGGCGAAGAGAAGGGCTCGTGTGTAATCGCAGATTCAGTCGCGGGCTGCAGCAGAGTCACTTCGACTGCTACTCACCGAGCCGCTACGCCCACGCACGCGCTTGGTACTTGCCCGTCATCTTCCCATTGCTGGCACGCATGAATCGAACGCTCAGTCGGTCCAACTCGTCGCCGTCAGTCAACTACCTGCAGCGCAAATCCTCGGTGACGACGACGACGCCGACGGCCAAAGCCAGCAGCGCCGGCCTCGCCAACTTTGCCAAGCTCACGTGCTCGATGAGCTACAAGAACCGAACGTCCATGTTCGTCGAAGGCTCCGCGCGCGACAGCGTGAGCCAAGTCGAGCTGCGCCCAACCGAGGACAAGTACATGCGCATGAGCACGGCGAGCACGTATTGCAGTAGCCGCGACAGCAACGCGAGCAGCCTGAGCACGATGGTGTCGACGCGCATGACGTCCGAGAAGGTTGTCGCGCGCCCTTCGGTGGCGCTGCCCATTACGACGATCGTCGAGAACCCAGACGCGACCGACGCCGAGATTAAAAAGATGCAGACCAAGCGCGCACTCCGACGCATGTGCCTCGAGATGAACCTCACCGAGGCCGACGAAGACTCGGATGCCAAGGTCACGTCCGATGACGACGATGCGGACAGCGACGACGAGCTCGCCAAGAAGCTGCTCCAGCTCCAACGCGTTGACGACAGCGACGACGACGACGACGACATGATGCTGGCGGCGGCAGCGTACAAGAAGACGAAGGACTATCAGCCCAGTGACACGGTCACCATCTCGAAGGCCGAGCTGCGCCAATTCCAGACGCGACTGAAGCAGCTGGAAGAGCTCTGCGCCGACCAAGCCGAGAAGCAGGCCGCGCTCGAGATGAGCATTGAACGGGAAGTGCGCACGCGGACGCGGCACCTCGAGGCGCAGGTGCAGGAGAAGATCGAGGAGCTCACGCTGATGCGCGAGCTGGACATGGACAAGGAGATCGAGCGCCGGTTCACCGACTTCTCGCTCGCGACCGGCCTTTCGAAAGAGTCGGACCGCAAGACTAAGTCCAAGGCGAAGAAGTCGTTCTTTCACCGGCCGTCGACGCTCGCGTCGTCGGGCAACTCGGAGCTCGAGCAGTTCCGCGAGTTCCTCATGAACAACTCCAAGCGCATGAGCGAGCGGCTCCGGGAAACCGCGCAGTTCAACGGCGACCTGCCGCCCGCCCACAACGCAGACGCGTACTACGAGGCATCGCAAAACGAACTCATCGAGATGCTTGAAAAGCTCCGCACGGTCGCGTACGACCAAGACGAACAGCTCGAGCAGGCCAAGTACCTCATTAGCGTCGCGATTGCCAAGATCGAGGCGGCGGACGAAGTCGTCAACGAAGCGTTTGAAGAGCTTGGGAAGATGGACTCGCGCCTCGACCGTGCGAGCCAGGAAGTCCAGGAGCTGCGCCGGTCGACGATGAACCTCTCGATGCTCTCGTCGAGCTCGGCGGGGTCGCGGACGCCGTCGATACATTACCAGCCACCGCCGCAACCGCACTTTGCTATGGCGTCCGGCGCAACCCGGCGATAGGCACACAGACGTGGTATTTCTCTTAACTTATAAAAGCAAGATTGTGAGTGCGCATCGTATCTATGACAATATTGGTAGTACTACTACGGACTCAGTACGCAAATGGGGCACTTGGACTGCGAGAGGAGCCACTGCAGAGCACCATGTCATCGCATACAGACGGAAGGATGTGATAGTACCTGGTCGATGCAGCAGGAATGGAACATGTGCAGGCACGGCAGCGCGCGCACCTCTTGCTCCTCCTGAAAGTCGTGGAGGCAGATCGAGCACTTGGTGTTGCCACTCGGCGCTTTCGGCGTCGAGTACTGGAACGCTGGCATCTCGATGATGGCCGACGGCAGCATGCGCCCCGCCTTGCCGCTCTATGGCGACGTGCGATGAGCACACATGACAATTCGTTGGAGAAGAGACCTCGAGGTACTGCGACTCGAGCCGCCGCACGTTGCGGAGGAGCGAGAGCAGGCGCTACGACAGGAGTGAGGCGCTTGTAAGAAGCAGACCGAGGTGTACCATGTTCTTCTTGTGCAGCGCACCCGTGGTCGGCGACGCGGGCGCCGGCGGAAGTTGCCTGCAACGTCACGCATGAGCAACGGACGCCGTATCGAAGAGGTTACGAAGCCGCCGCCGCGTCAAAGTCGAGAAGCTGCAAGGCCAAGCTCTCCGGCTCGTCCGTGTCACAGGACGCAACAGAGATGAGCCCGGGTGCGAGGCGCGACGCCGCCGGCTGGACGTCCATGGCACTTGCATCCAGCTTCAAGGTTTCGTCCCAGTCGAGCCGGCTGCCAATGGACGACGACGTGTGCCGGCGGCGCGTCATAGCCGCGGCGTCGAGGCGCGGCGCGTACTTCTTGAGAAAGTCGTCTTCCTTGTCGGCTGTACTACTGTCATCAACCACTTCGGGCTCGCACTGGCGCATCTCTTCCTGGAGGATGCGCGCGCTCTCCGTGTCCTCGTTCCAGATCGTGGCCGCGCGTTTGTTCCAGCGCGACTAAGCGACGCGATGAGCTTCGTGCGTCGTGCGTCGTGATGGCAACGACGTACGTGACCATTCTGCCCGTGCATGCACTGATTCAAGTGTTCCGTGAGCCACTTCATAGTACCGCGCGACGGGGATTCGATTCTGCCAAGTGCAAAGTGGTGGTTGGATCGAACGCCGTTCGGTACTCATATAAGGTAATTGCTGGCCATTCACGGCCCTTCGTGTCAATGTGCACGCTGGCTCAAACCAAATGCCTCGTCTACAGCGTGCACGTGTGTTGGCGCTGCCACGAGCGATGACCCGAACGCTCGCCTGAATATGCCTCATACCCTGTTGTGTCGACGAGGCCACCGCAATTCCCCTAAATCGTACGCCCAGCCGAGCTGATGATTCTTCACACTTCGATCGCGCGCTGATTGGGCCAATTCTAAACGCTTGTCGCGGATTGGTAAATCGCAAATCTTTTATCCGGCGCCAAGTCGCCGTCGGGCGGCGTTGGCGCCAACGTGGCCACTTGAGGTATCCACAACATCATGGCACTCGAGTAGTAGCGCGTCAGCGAAAATGCATCCGACGCATGTGGCGCAAGCTACCTCTCGAGCTTCTAGTACCTCGATGACAGTCCCGCTCCCATGGCGATGCCCTGCGGAGCTAGTGGCTGGCCCACAGCCATCGTCGATGCCCGAAGCAAGTCGAATGTCTTGGTTTGCACCGGTACTATAGAGTGTGCGTTTGCGACCAGTGTGGGGCGGAGGCATTGCTGATCGGTCAGCGCTTTTCCCACCAGCCAGGTGCTCACATCTCGTTGCCTGCGGTACAGTGCTGCTCCGATGCTCACAGCTCCAAAAGGAGGCCTGTCGTTAGAGTGGGATGTTGAATCAAGTGGCCTCCCGTATCCGGCAAGATCGCGGCCCGTATCCGGAGAATCACAAACCTCAAGTGGTCCGATGCAAGCGCCGGACGCCACGCGCAAGCCGATGGCCGTGCCCGAGATGAGCCACGAGTACATACCCATCGACGACGGCCGGTCGCCAAGCCTCCACGAGCCAGAGGTCCGCGGCCGCGTCCCGGCCAAGCTCGCCCAAATCGGCGTGCTCACGCTGCTCATGGGCATTGGGCTCTTCTTTGTCGGCGCCATCAACCTGAGCGAGAGCACGCAAGCACCGACAGTAGACACGCCATTACGTCTGGTTGTGGTGACGCCGCCACCGCTGGACGCGATGCTGACCGAGCCCATCTTCCCGTTGGACTCGTCGTTCCACCACTACACGCTCTCGGCCGACGACGAGGGCGACGGGTACGTCTCGGCCGACGGCCGCGCCTTCCGCAGCGACCACACCAACCTCTTTGGGCGCGGCGTCACGGGCAAGATCGTGTCGGTCGACGACAATGCGTTTCTGATCCGCAGCAACGGCGAGTGCTGCCGCTTTATGGACCCTGGCGACGAGATCCTCCTCAAGCCCACGAGCTTTGCCAGCTACCTCTCGGTCGGCGTGGCCGAGTTTGACGCAGGACCCGCGACCCTCTGGTGCGTTCTCTTTGCTGCTTTCGAGTCGAACCTTCCTGCGTGTAGGGCGGACCCGGAAGAGACGAGTTTGTTCTGGGTCGACGTCCATGGCCTGCCGCTGCGCTGGGACTACATTCCCAAGTCCCCCGTCGGGAAGCGCATCTCGGCGGGCAAGATGATCTCGATGGTCTACGCCAACTTTACCACGGGCACGGTCGCCGCGCCGCTCTTTGACGTGCCGGCCAGCTGCACGACTGCCCAGCGCTGCCGATTCGACTAAGAAATGACTAAAATGTCGCATACAATGGCTGACTATGGTAGCATCAACGAGAGCACTTGGCTGTGGAGCTTGAGATTCGCTCCGTGGCGCAGCGGGCCCGCGTCCCCCGCCGTAAACACATACCTACAACCAGTCGAGATGAGACGCACGCGACGCCACGACCATCGTACGGCAGCGTGCAGCACAGCGTCCGGCCACTTGGCAGCGACGCGTACTCAAAGCCAAAGATCACTTGCTCCGTCTCGTCCATCTATCAGTATGTTGAGGTTCGTCTTGCGGGCGACAAGAGCGCATCCTCACCTTGATGGTCAAATGCAAGCTCAGCACGCGTGCGAGGCCGGAGACGACGTACACGCGGCGCAGCTGCGCATGCTCGATTGGCTTGGCACTCCCCAACGCACACTGAAAGCACTGCACGTACACGGCCATGTCGCAGCCGGGCCAAACCTACTTATCTTCTGAAGGGTGTTCGGCCATGTGACCGACGTACCGTGTCGTGGAGCGACGCCGCGGACGTTGTAAAGAAGAAGCGGTGGCCCATCGCGCACTCGTACTCCATGCCAGCATAGGCGACGAGCTGCTCCTCGTTCGTCGCTGGTTTCATCGCCTTTTTCGAGCGGCGCGCCGAGGCTTCTCGGTACCACGGCGAGAGGCAGCTGAACTTTGGCACAAAGCCGTTCATTGTGCCGGCAAACCCTTCGACCGGATCGTACAGATGGCTGTCGCCCATGTCCATCAAACTCGCGCCCTACCACGCGATGCGTTTCCTCTCACTGGAGACACGGCAACGTACCGACGCTGCGTGCAACAGCGTGTGGCGACGGCAACACGGGAGGCGCCAGCGCGGGTCAGCATTGCTCTAACCAGCAGACACACACATCATGCTGCTGCATCGTGCCGGTCGCGCAGTACGCTGGCCGAGAAGGCATCGGGCATCCGGTGCGGCGAGAGACCGCAGTGGCACGCCACCTGCAGGAACATGCCGCTCGTGTGCGCATGGTCGTCGTCCTCGTCGTCGTGGCGCAGTGCGACCGTGCACGGTTGGTTCTATGCACGTCGATCGATGAGGGCTCGTCATGTGCTGCGTTAGCGTACCGCGATGCTTATCGCGTCGCAGAGCCGCCGGCCATTCGAACGCCATAGACCGTCGCACGCGTCTCGGATCTTGTTGGCAAACTCGCTTGCAAATGGGTTGGTGCGACCAACGCAGCGCGTAAAGTCGGCCTGCGTTCTCTCGACGCGGGCGGCATGTACGGTGCTGTTGCATGCGTCGGGACGCTCGGCCATGTAGCGCTTCATCGCGGGCCCATACTCCTACCGAGAAATAATATTGTGCAGCGAGGGAGGGAGCGATATGCTACCCGCGCACACAGGTCGTAGGCAAAGGTTCCCGTGATGTTAAGCGACTCGTAGAGCGACAGCGCCGCCTCCTTGGGTGCGTCGTCGTCGGCGGCAGCATCGACATGCGGCGAGGCAAAGAGCGCGTTCTCGACTACGATCCATTGTAGAAGCAGCTGCACGTGGTGCAGCCACGCGCCGAGGGCCAAGACGCCGTCGTCGTAGCTGTCTACTTGACCGAGAAGACGATGAGGCACTCGTTTGAGAGAGGTAGTACGTACGCTCGTGCACGAAGGTATCGAGGGCCTTGGAAATGTACTGGATCGCGTGCGGCACACCAATCGCATCTTCGTCATCGAGCGGCTGCAAGAGCTGCTTACGCGGAAGGCTTGCATCTTCGGCGAGGTCCAGCACCGCCGCCATGCGGTCGAGCAGGTTGCAGTCGCTGGTCGCAACCTTGCGTGCGACAGCGACGACCGTGTGCGATGGGTCGAGAAGAAAGAGACGCCGCTCCTTCCCGGCAGCTTGCCCCGGCACGTCTTTGAGGCGAACGCTTCCAACCACGTGGTTGCGCAGTGGCTTGATCGTCGCCGTCACGCGGGCCTCCATGGCCTTGCAGAACGTCATCATCGCGGCCCGACCTTTGTTGGAGCGGACAGCTAGCTCGGGCGGCAATGGAAAGACGTACGCAAGGATGGGCACGAGCCGACCGGGCGCATACGCCGACGTCGAGAGCGGAGCATGCGTCGTCTTGTGGGCCTGCTTGGCGTGGGCCCTCAGAAGCTGGAGAAGCTGGTGCTTGGCCTGCGATAGCGTCCGGTACAAGCGCGTCTGGCTCGTGCTCACGCGTGCTTCGTCCTTGACCATGTACAAGACGTGGCAGCTGGTGAAGAAGAGAAGGTGCAGCTTGGCACGATCGACGTCAACGCTGGCCCGCGGCTGGCCATGTGGGTAGTGATACAAGCCGAGCATGACGGCGAGGTGGCGCTCATGGTCATAGTAGAAGCGCACGTCGATGCCATGGGCTTTCGTCGCCTGTGCATCGTAGTCGCTGGTGTCGGTAAAGACGTAGCGACCGAGGAGCCGATTGGCAAAGCGGGCCGTGGCGTCGGGGTCGGCTCCGAGCACGCCGACGACGACCGCCGGTCGACCTTCCTGCTGCAGCGCCGTGAGCAGGCTGGATGGCGGCAAGGACGGCGCTGGGTAGAGCACGACCTCAGCGTTGCGCAGCATCTCGACCGGCCGCGGTGGCAGCGGCGGCGCCATGTTCGGATACGAATCCATCTTGTATCCGGACAGGATTTCGCCAAAGATTTGAAAATAAAATGTGTGGCCCGCAAATTGGGCATAATACAATGACGTATTCGGCGTATTTATTTGGGTCGTGCCGTGCTTTTATGCTCATTCTACATAGGGTTGTAAGGCATTGGGGAATAAAAAGTGCGCGGGTTTTGACATATTATTATTCGAGTGGCGCGTGAAACTCCTCGGTGCTTGGTTTGGAGAAAGCTTTTTTTTGGCGAAATTTGCGGCAGGTCCGAGATGGGGGACACGAGCCGAGGTCGACGCGCCCCGAACGCGCGGCCCGCCCGCGGCAACGGCTATGGCAACCAGTCAGCCATCGCCGGCACGGGCATCAAGAGCGGCATGACCGTCGAGGTACGCGGCGAACAACGGCGACCGCTCATACGTTGGCCTAGGACCTCAAGCGGCTGACGCAAAAGCGCATGCAAGAAGCCACAGTGGGCATCGCGCCAGTGATTCCCGCCGAGGTTATAACGCCCAAGGCCAAGCCTACGATCGCCGTGCCGGTCGTGCCGCCACCATTTGTGCCGAAAACCGGGATGACCGTCCAGGTACTACGCCACGACGTGCTCCCAGAATGGCCCTCATTCGACGACCGTAGGAGCTCAAGCAACTGACGACGCTGCGCCTCGCGCAGCAAAGCGTGGGCACGCCAACGCACCAAGCGCAGGCGGCTGCCAACGAATACAAACCGCCCATGAACCAATATTACGCGCGCAACGTGACGGCGGGCAGTACACCGACCTCGTCGCCGGGCGGGACGCCGAAACGGCAAACGAATCGCTCGTCGTTCACGTCCGACATTCCTACGCCCAAGCAAGTTAACAACAGGGCGCCGCCGGTGGCTGCTCCGCGCAATGGCCAGGCCAAGCGCATGCCGGACTCCATGATGTATGTCAATGGCGGCGGTAGTCCCAACCAGCAGCACCACCACCACCAAGCAGCCTATGCATCGGCGCCGGCGCCGCAATACGAAAAGGTACAGTAAATGTCGCCGAATCGACAAGTGGCTCATCTTGCCGTAGCCGTATCCATCCGCAAATACAATGGCGCACGACTACGCGGTACGCTTCCTCTTTAGCTGACGCATCTCATACGATTGATACAACAGTCGGTCATGCGGCAGCACATGCAGTTCGAGAACGACTCGTTCCCGCCGCCGCCGCCCATTGATGACTCGGGCTCGTTTCTCTCTTCGTCGGCGATGCCGTCGTGGTCGCCGCCCCCGGCACGGGTCAAGACCATGGAGCCTGGTCGCCCCGTACGTCCTCCGCTCTCCCGTACGCTTGACGCACGATCGTACGATTAGGTGTCGCTCTATGGTCAGTCGACGTTTTATGTGCAGCCCATGACAACGTCGTCGGACGATGAGACGCCGACGTTCCTGGCGCCGCCGCCGGGCCTCACCCGGCGTCCGTCGATGACAGTGCCGTGGCAAGTCGCCGAGTCAGTGCTCCACACGCCGCAGCAGCCGTCGACACGCAAGCAAATGGTGGTCGATGGCAATAAGGTCAAGGAGACCAACTTGAGCCAGTTCTCGGCGCAAAAGCCGATGCAGAGCCCGCCGCGCATGCCGTTGCACCGGTCGACGTCGTCGGCGGCCGCGGCGGCCGCAGCAGAGCTCAACATGACGGGGCTCGTGCGCCAGAAGAGCAACGACGGCCCGCCGTCGCTCGGCCGCCGCGGCTCGTTTGGGAACGCGGCGCAGCTCTTCAAGTTTCGCCGACGCAGCAAGAGCCGGCTCGACGTGGCCCGGGACATTGCGCTCATGGAGCAAAACGAACACGAGCGCATGCTCTCGATCGAGGAAAACAAGATCCGGTCCAACTCGGATGACCTCGGGTCCCTCGACGACGTCCAGCCATACACGCCCGAGATGGGTACGTTGAAACCTGTCCTTATTATTGTGGACAAGTTGTCATTCGTTCGTGTAGCCGACAATGATTTCTGCCCATGTACAACCAGCGCTCGGTGCCGCGCCTCAACATCCCGCCGCCGCCGCCGCCCATGGACGACAGCAGCAGCGACGACGACGAGGCGTACCCGACGTCGCCGAGCGGGCTGCCGATGATGAGTCCCAACGGCGCCAAGCTGCGCAAGGTCGCGCAGCTCGCGCGCAGCGGGACGTTGAGCAACGAAGACAAGACGCGCGCCAAGGACGAAATCATCCAAAACTCGCTCGTACGCACCATTTCTAATCACCGTAGGGACTCATGCCGGATTCTTAGGGCCTCGGGGCGCTAAGCATGCTCGATGACGAGTCGACGTCACGTGGCATTGCGCGCGCCAAAGTAAGTCTCGAGGAGCGGCTCGCGCAGGCGGCGCAGCGCGTGGCCGACTGCGTCGCGCGTGGCGACATGGTCGAGTTCAACAAGGCAATGACGGAGCTCGACAAGCTGCGCCACGAAGCGAGTCAGTTGATGCAGCAATGAGACGAGCATCTGTGTATGGAGTCCAGAGACGTAGTGGTATGATGCGATAAAAGAAGAGAGTTCTTTGGAAAAAACGCTACGTCGCGAGGTACGTCGCAAGCCGCGCGAGCGTCGCCACATCAGCCTCGTACTGCTCGAAATCGTCGCCGTCCCACTTGATGAGCGTCAAGACGTCGTCGACGACGTCGCCGCGGAGCGCCGGGTGCCGCATTTGCGCGCACGCTGCGTCGCTGTGCCGGACGGCGCGAGGCCCAAAGCACCGCACGCGCGACGTCGGGTGGGCGCAAAAGACAGCGATGCGGAGGCAGAGTTCGCAGCCGCAGTTGACGTCCGCGTCATCGATGGACCAGTCGAGCTGCGGCAGCACACCTTTGGCGACCACGATGGCCTGGAGCGGCGGCCATGCGACGGCGGCGACCGCCTTGAGGGCCGCTCGCTCGCCCGGGTACACGCGCGTCAGCATATCAAAGAGCGGCGCGATGACGCGCCGAACATACTCAAGGTTGTTGCGGTGGTACAATTGGGCCCACTCGAGCAGGCTGAGGGCGTGGTGCAACGGAGCGCCGAGGCGAAAGAGCAGGTGAAAAATATCTTGGATTGTCGTGCAGTGGCCGTGCAGCGGCAAGGCGCCGTGCAGCTCCAGTGCTTGGTTCCATAAGCGAACGTCAAGCAAAAGGGCGGGCACCGCATGTCGTGGCCACGTCACGTTGGGATGCACGAGCAGCTGCGCGGCCACGTGCAGAGCACCGCGCCGCTGCTCGGGCGTCGATGGCTCGCGCATGGACGACAGTCGCGGCACAAGGATCGCAGCGACGGCCCGCGCGTCCAGCGCCAGGAGCGCATGGACCGTCTCCGCGTCAAAGGCCGAGAGCGGCGCGTGCTGGACCGAGCGGAGGACATGTGCTGTGTACGCGGACGCGATGGGGTGCGGCAGCATCGCCGCGGCGACGACGGCGACGGCGCCAAGAGGCGCAAAGCTCGCGCGCTGGCGTCGAACGACGCGGTAGGTGTTTTGGTACAGAAACGAGTCGATCGTCTCGTGGACCGCGGCCGGCAAGCGGTCGCCAAACCACACGTCGCCGGTGGCCATGGCGTCGTGCACGAAGGCGTCGAGGCGCAGGAGCAGCGTCAAGAGGCGCTTGGCGCTCGATCGCTCGAGAGGCACGTCGTCGAGGCACACGATAGTGCGCACAAGCTCGTCGCTGCAGCGCTTCGCGAGCTCGGCCACGCGCGGCTGCCGCAAGTCGACGATCGCGCCGATCTCGACAAGCCGAGCGATCACGTCGGGCCACGTCTTGGCGCCACTGCAGCGCTTGAGCAGCGCGTGCGCCAGGATCTCCCAGCCGTACTTTGCCGCCACTTGCCGCAGCCACGCGCTTGCGGGGCCGTGTGCATACGCCTGGATGAACGCGAGCACAACGTATTTCAAGTCCCGCGCGAGAATGTAGCGGCCAAAGGCGCTAATGGCGTCGCGTGTGAGAAGGCTGTCGTGGATCGGCATCGCGAGCGAGTCGACGAGGGCCATCGCGAGCGCGGTGGCCGAGCGGTACCCGAGCCACGACCCATCGTAGAGGCTGCGGAAGGCCGCGCGAAAGCCTGCGATCCGCGCGCGGTGGGCCTTGGGCCAAAAGACGAGGAGCGTTTGCGCCTGTGTCGTGAACGCAGCGAGGATCGCATGGATCGAGGTCGTGGCCAAGCCTGCGAGGACGGGTCCTGGGACGTGGCAAGCTTCGTGGCCGATCGCGTCCAAAATATCGAAGGCCGTTTCCGCTTCATTCCGCGGCGCCGCGCGGACGAGCGCAACGTCCATCGTGGCCACGAGCGCGCGCACGATGGCATCCTCCGTCGCCAGGAGACTCGCTGAGCTAAACGCGCCGGCCCACGGTAGCGCGTAGACGTCTTCCTCTTGGCGGGGCAAGACCGCTTGGACGCGAAGAAGGTCCAGTGGATCGGGCAAGCGACGTCCAAAGACAGCGTACACAAACACGACGAGGTACCCGCCGGTCAATGGCTCGAGCACGATCGTGTCGGCGACGTCGAGCTGGACCAGAGTCCTCGGGCCAGCGTTGGTCCACGTCGCTGGCGTCGTCTGGCGCGCAGCTCGCGACGGCGCTTCAATGGCGACGTAGGCAATGACACCGTCGGCGGTCGCCGTCGGAAGCCACCGCGTGTAGTCGCCACCGACAGCATCGACGACGACATGCGACAGAACAAAGTCGCATGCTGCGTCCAAGCCGAGCTGCGCGGTGGCCCCGCGCTTGGCGGCGAGCCACGCAAGCGTCCCGAGCCCATTGCGCTCGACGCGAACGTACGACGCATCAATGTGGCACAGCGCGACGTCGCCTGCCCCGTACGCGTCCATGAGCTTGCCCGCGAAGCTTCGAGCAAGCGGGCACGGGACAGGGCGGTCCCAGTCGGCGACGACAAGGCTGACCGTGAAGACGTCGCTGTACGCACCTAGAACCACTGGCACCGATCGCGCGCGGAGGAGCGCGAGTGCTTGCAGGAGAAGCCGGTGGTCGCTCATGACGTCGGTGGTAGAAGGCAAATCGATTTTTGACGTGCAAAGGCTGTGCTGGGAAAAGCTCATGCTATCGAGCGAGGCGCTTTTCAAAATGGCTTTCCATTGCCACCGCTCAAGGTCCCAGCGCCCCTTTCTTCACCGGCATGCACAGTTGAACGTTTGGAGAGGTCCTGTAAAAGTACGAGACTACACGACCGGCGCGTCGACGTGGCCGTGACGCCAATGCGTCACGAGGCGACTGAAGAGGCTGGATGGCGTCGCGAGCAGATTGGCGGGCGTGTCCAACTCGGCGACGCGTCCGTTGTCAAGGACGAGGATCCGGTCGGCGTCGAGGATCGTGTTGATGCGGTGGGCGATCGTGATGCACGTGCAGTGGTGGAACGCGGCGCGGAGCGTCTCTTGCAGCGCCGCGTCCGTGGCCGCATCGATGGACGCGGTGGCTTCGTCCATGAGCAACACGGTGGCTTTCTGGAGCAGCGCGCGCGCAATGCACAGCAGTTGGCGTTCGCCGACGCTAAAGTTGACGCCGCGCTCGTCGACGATCGCGTCGAGACTCGTCACCTACAACGTCGAGTCATCACATGCGAGCGGTTGCGAGACTACCTTGGTGTCGAGGTGCGCGCGCTTGAGCGACGTCCAGAGCGCGTCGTCGTCGAACCGGTCGAACGGGTCCAAGTTGGAGCGCACCTAGGGTACTCTTGTCGTAAATCAACGTCACGATTTGGTCCAATTACGGTGCCAGAGAAGAGGATCGGGTCTTGCGGAATGATCGCGATGCGGTTGCGGACGTCGTGGAGTCCGAGCGTGCGCAGGTCGACACCGTCGATGGCGATGTGACCGCCTTCGACTTCGACGAGCCGGAGCAGCGCGACGACGAGGCTCGACTTGCCGGCGCCCGTGCGTCCGACGACGCCGACCTTTTCCCGCGCCCGAATTGAAAACGAGACCCCGTTTAGCACGCGTGGGAGGCCCGGACGGTAGCGCAGTTGCACCTACATCGCAACAACCAGTGTCACCTCTGTGCAAGAGACACAGATAGGGAGGCGTACGTTGGTAAAGGTGACGGCGCCAGCGTGCGGCCACGACTCGGGAAGGGCGGCATTGGACGCCAAGGCGGCTTCGGGCGGCAGCTGCGCGTACGCGACGAGGCGCTCGATCGAGACCATGTCCGTCTCGAGCTCGCTCACGGTGGTCACCGAGAGGTTGAGGTTGCGCGTGATCTGGAACGCGTACGAGAGCGAGACGCCGACGAGCGCCGCAAACTCGGTCGAGGCCGACGGCTTGGCAACGACCGCGCTCACGGCTGCGAACGTCGCGACGAGTGTGCCCACGAGCTCGAGTCGCAGCCCGAGCCAGCACGCGACTGCAAAGTTGAGCAGCGCCGCGCGCTGGTTCGTGTCCAGCGCGGTATGCAGCCGGCGTGTGAACGCGCCTTGGACGCTCGAGGCCGTGATCGTCGAGAGACCGTCGAGGGTCTCTGTGAGGAGCGCGAGGATCGGCGACCGCGACGTCGCCTCGAGGCGCTGGAGCTCCCGGGACGTGGCAATGTAGTATTGCTGCGCGCGGTAGTAGAGCAAGCCGATCGGCACCACGCACAGGCCAAAGAGCGGCGTGACGTACGCGATGGTCGCGATGGTCGAGAGCACCGCGAGCGACGTGGCGAGGAGGCTGCCCATCGCCGCGGGCAGGTCGTCGTCGGCCGTGTCGACGTCTTTCGAGAGCCGATTCACAATGCGGCCGAGCGGCGTCGTCTCAAAGAAAGAGAGCGGCGCCCGCAAGAGCGCCTGCAGGAGCTGCGCAAAGAGGCGGCGCGACCCGCGGAGACCGACGAGCGAGATCGCGAGCGACCGGCAGAAGAGAGAGCCCACGAACGCGACGTTGAGAGCGACAAAGACGCCGAGGTAGACGCCGCCGTCCTCGTCGTCACCGGCGGCAATGTGCTCGGACCAGACCGCGAGCCAGAGCGTCGATGCGAGCGTCAACGCTTGGGCGAGGACAAAGAGGCCAACGACGAGCGCGCCGAGCCCGACGCCGCCGCACGCGCGCAGCCAGACACGGTACATGTCGCGGTGCACGTGGCCCACGGCGCGGTCTTCGGTCGTGATGAGCGACGACGTTGTTGTTGTTGTACGTGGTGTTGGCGGAAGCATGTCAGCCTCTAGCGACGTCGATGCGTCGGGACGGCTACTGTCGTCGTCGTCGTCGTCGTTGTCGGTCGAGGCTGGCGTGTCCACAGTGCCAGCGCCCAGCTGGAACGTAGCGACCATGGACGCGAGGCGGCCATCCGATTGCAGGGCGAGGTCTGGGAACGACCCGGCTTCCACGACCGCGCCCGACTCGAGCACGAGCACGTGGTCGCAGTGCGCGAGGACGCTGAGCTGGTTGGTCACGAGCACGACGATCTTGGTCGCGAGGCGGTCGCGCACGCAGCGCTGGAAAATGTCGGCGCCCACGTGGCTGTCGACGGCCGCGAGAATGTCGTCGAGCAAATAGATGTCGGCGTCACTGTACATGGCCCGCGCCAGCGCCACGCGCGTGCGCTGGCCGCCGCTGAGCGTGATGCCCTTCTCGCCAATCTCCGTGCTGTCGCCGTGCGGCAAGACGCGCAAGTCGGGCTCCAAGCAGCTCACGCGCACCGCGTCCGCGTACTTCGCAGCCTCGAACGGCAGACCAAAGGTAATGTTGGCGCGGACGCTGGCGTTCTGGATGAACGGCTGCTGGCTCACGTACGCAACCGAGCCAAACCGGTGCACGTGGCCATGCGTGCAGTCGACGTCGCCCAAGAGACCGTGCAGCAGCGTCGATTTGCCGCTGCCCACGGGTCCGATCACCGCAATCAGCGACGGCGAGCTCACGTGCAGGGACACGCCACGCAGGCGGTCTTCCAAGTTGGCTTCGTGCATGTCGACGCCAGGCGACGTCAAGGTGCCGGGACCCACCGGCGTTCGCTCGTGCGATGCTAAGAACGCCTCGAGCCGCGTCGCACTGGTGTACGCTTCGACGACGGCGTGGAGTACCTGGGGGAGCTTGAAGAGCGGGAACCGGAGCACGTTGAAGAGCGCGACAGACGTCAGCGCCGTGCTCACGTCCAGCTCGTTGCCCAAGAGCACGTACGCGCCCAGCGACGCGGCCGCGACCAGCGACGGCACGCCCGTGTAGAGCGACGTCGCGGCCGCTTGGATCGAAGAGTAGATACGCAGGATGCCGAGCTCGGCGTCGCGGTACGAGAGGATGCGGTCCGCAAAGCTGAGCTCCCACGCCTGGAGCTTGAGCACCTTGATGCCGGCGAGCACTTCGTAGCAGAGCTTGCCGCGCGTGTCTTTGACGGAAAGCAGCGACGACTGGAGGCGCCGCATGATCTTGGAGAGGAGCGTCGTGATCGGAATGACGAGGAGGATGACACCAAGACCCGCCAGGAACGCGACGCCGAGCTCGTTGTAGAGAAGGGTACAGGCAACGACGAGGAGGTATGGGACGACCCAGATCGTGTGGAGGTCCAGCGTCAGTCGTTGGAGCCGAGCGGCGTCGATCGACAT